GGGGGGGGGGGGGGGGGGGGGGGGGGGGAGGGTAGCATTGACATTGACTTGATTTTAATGATCCGTGCAGTTGGAATGGAATTTCGATGCCATCCCACTTTTTGTGTTTTGTGAAGTATAAAAACGAAGAGTTTTTTCTGACTTTTGATTTTGGCGTCTCGATACGCTTGTTGTTTGATGCACTGTACGGTAAAAACCTATCTAATCTTTAAATAAGTAGGGATTCTTGAAAAGCTTTAGACAGCTTTTAGTTCTCCACATAGCTGAAAACTTCTTCGGATGCTTTTATCAGTGTTTTGTTTTGTTTCATTTTGTGGCCAGTATGCTGACGATTCTTTTACCTATTTCGTTCCCTGAAAAGATTAGCCACTCAGTGGTTCTCCTCAAACAAGCATTTTGCAAGGTTTTAGCTGTTTCAAGATATCTTTTGTATTGATCAGGACCTCTTGTTTTGCATGCTGCTACGCGTAAACTATGGCGTTACTTTACTGACTGTTACCAGTATGCTTGATTACCTGATAAGGAGCTCTGCTGTTACTGCATACACACACACACACACACCCTGACGTAATTTTGTCGAGTTCATTGACCTTGAGTGGTATGTCTGTGTTTTGTACCCGTGGCACCCACTTTATATGAACATTAATTCTTCGAAAATCATCCACGTGGTCATTTTTCTACGGAGACTCTTTGTGACGCAGTAAAACTCCCCGCTTTAAGAGTGCTTTTGTTTTCCAGGAGTGACCTTGTGAAACTTCCGACAGTAAGTGAGATGCACTGGGATGTGGCTGAAAAATGGCATGCACTTGATGCATTACTTGTACAGACTGCTTGTTGTTATGAGGAGCTTGGCTCGGGACATTTGTACGATGAAAATAAGGCATCGCTCATTTCTGTGCTTTCAAAGGTTAATTAAAAACTTCACTTTTTAACTGCTCTTTCTCCGCACTCCTCTGTATTCTCCAGGGCATTTCTCCAAACTGATAAAATGAAAAACAATTATAACTATTATTATTGCTATTATGATTATGATTGTTGTTGTATTATTATTA